CATTTGAAATTGTACATCACTATTTCAAAATATCTTGTTTCAATTATAATCTGATCGTTTATTACTGATTTCAGCACCACGGACAGAGACAGCATTTGTCCCTCCTCGCATTTCTCTTTAAAATAGATTTAATACTTGCTCCATCTTTTGTCCCTTTGTTTGTTACATATATCAAAAGATGTTTTCTATATATTTGTTTGAGTTTTTTAGTTCGTCAGTGCAGGCCTCTAGATATTTAGCTTCTAAGGTGTTTTTTCATAACATTTTTATGAAATATATTAAGTTAAATAATTTTATTGTTCTTGTAGTTCTGCTCTATGGACTCAATGGGCCGCTGTTGGTCAACGTGTTGCAATCCTGTAGATAGGATTTGAAGCAGATCCTCCCATTTCATGTCCGTATTTTAGAGAAAGGAAGGGAGACAAAGCACTGTTCACTGACCGGGAATCTTTTAGATGGATACAGTGATCTGATGGACTATTATTTCACGGTTTGGGAGAGATATATGTGTTCCTTTATCTATATCTTTTCGTGTGGAAACATTATTTTTTTTGTCGTGATTCCCTTTGCAAAAGATGTTCTGTGGTGCAGCGTATATTTTGAACAGAACAATGAGACGGCAAGTACTGTTTTTTATCTCGATCTTCTATATAGGTTATGTTGTCGGTCAAGTGAGCTACTCTATTCCGGAGGAAATGCCAAAGGGGTCTGTTGTCGGAAATATAGCTCGAGATTTGGGCATAGATGTGAGGAGACTAAAGTCAGGTAAATCTCGTATATTTACGAGCGACAGCGCAGAATACATCGAGCTGAGTAGGGAGAGAGGAGTCCTCCTCCTCAAAGAGAGAATCGACAGAGAGTCACTCTGCAGACAGACGACGCCTTGTGCTTTGCATTTGCAGATTATTTTAGAAAACCCAATGGAGCTTTTTCGAATAACGGTCGAAATCACTGATATAAACGATAACAGTCCAAGTTTTAAAAACGATGAGAAACGTTTTGAAATAAGCGAATCCGCAGTTACAGGATCGAAATTCGTGTTAGAAAGAGCGGTCGATGCAGATATTGGAATAAATGGCCTGAAAAATTATAGCCTGAGACCTACGGATAACTTTGTTCTGAAAATCGAAAATCAGGCTGATGGACAGAAAAAGGTTGAAATGGTTTTACAAAAGCCACTAGATCGAGAAAAGGAGGAACAAATATCATTGTTGTTAAACGCCGTAGACGGAGGGGATCCTCAAATGTCGGGTACGGTGAAGATTTATGTGACCGTACTCGATGTGAATGACAACGCTCCGGTTTTCACGAAGTCGGTTTACAAGGCGACTATAGCCGAAAACTCTCAGAAAGGAACAACAGTGACAACAGTGAGCGCTTCTGATGCAGATAAAGGGACAAATGGGGATGTTTCTTATTTAGTATCAGCTACAATGGATAGTGTATCTGACATATTTACAGTAAATCAAAATGGTGAAGTAATATTAGTTGGTGAAGTTGACTTTGAAAAAGCCAAGTATTACCAAATTGATATTGAGGCCAAAGACAGTGGTGGTCTTTCTGATTCCAGTAAGGTTATAGTTGATGTTATTGACATTAATGATAATGAGCCTGTAATCAGTATACTTTCGAAATCAGATTCTATTCCTGAAAACTCTCCCCATAATACAGTTATAGTTATGTTCAGTGTCTATGACTCAGATTCAAGTAATAATGGTCAGGTAAACTGCAGATTAAATAGTAACATACCATTTACTATTACAGCTGCCTCAAATGATTTCTACAGTTTAGTAACAGACAGTGATTTAGACAGAGAGA